AATGCCACGAGGGGCCTGGCCATGTCGGTACATCGGTAGAGCCACTCCACAATGCTGGAAGCCACACACAAGATTGGCGCTGGGTTCCCAGGTTGAGCTGTACACACCAGATATATGTGCCTGTGGACCTGGCTGGCTGGGAAGGCTGGAGAAAGGATTAGAGCATGTGGGCCTGTAGAGGGCAGATGGATCTCTCTCTCTCAAGAAATAAATTGGGGAAGGGGGGAGCCAGGAGGCTCAGGTTGTGGTCTCAATATTTTATGTCAGTGCTCTTCAGAGAAATGACATCTCCAGTGCTCTTTATTTTGTATAAGTAGCACTCTACTTTTTTAAGTAATTATTTATTTTTAATTTTATTTATTCATTTACTTATTCTATTTTAATGAGAGAGAGATACAGAGAGAGAGAGAGAAAGTGAGAAAGCAAGCCACCAGGTCCAGGACTTGAACCATCGTTGGCCATGTGGGAATGTTCAGCACCTTAACTACCACGCCACCTGCTGGTCTCAGTAGCACTCTACTTTTAATAATAGCTTTAGAGTGATTTTACAATAGATGAAAGATTTGATAAAATCCAAAAGCACCTCCTTTCATGCAAGTGGTTTCTGTTGCCTTCTTAATAAAGAGAGTGAAACCTACCTTACACTCTTAGTTTTCACTCTTCTTAGTTAAACCTGCTCAAAAGTCCCTGGATCCACTTTTACCTTACAGTCTCCCCACAATTATACCATCCACATGTCTTTCTAACTTAACAGAGCAGTTTCCTAAGACCCACCCCCTAAGCAAACTTTTCAGAATCCCCAAGAATCCCAAAATCTATGGTTTTAAGAAATCGACAAGGGTTTCCAATTATTGCCAAGTTTGGAAGACAGTGATGTGTGGCTGAAGTTTGTTTCTATTCTGTTTTTGTGTCCCCTGAGGTGATCTCATCTGTTTATGGGCCCTGGGTTTTGTTTTTGTTTGTTTGTTTGTTTAAGGTCTTCACCATGGAGTGTAAAGGGGAGGAGGGGTAAAAAATCATTCCCTGTGTGGGGATGGTCACACCACAATCCCTTCTCCATACTTTTCTCGGGATTATGGGTAAACACGTAACACATCCAGAATGATTTTCAAGCCACTGGTGCAGGACATGACCTGGACTTGACCTGGTTGGCTCTGTGGGAATCCAGTGCTTTAACCACACCACCACCTGTTCCCTGGATGTATTAAATTAAAATAATCAAATACCTGAAAACACACATGATAGTGTTTGTTAAAGTGTGCATGCCTAGATACTAGCCCAGTGAGGTCTACCAAATCTGACTCTGTGGTGTATGGCCTGGCAATGTGCATTTTTAACATGCTCCCAGCTCGCCAAGTGATTCCTCCTATACAAAGAACCACTGCCCCTTCAGGAGTTGAACTGGAATACCCATGGGGTCAGGCAGGTTCACTGAGACAAGTACCCAAAGGGAAAATGATGCTCCCTCTACAAGGATGGGGACTCGTCAGCCTCAGCAGCTTGTTGCCATTTTGCCACACCAGAAATAGATCCAGTATTGCCTACAGTTTAAAATTTTTAGAAGCTAGAAGCTCAGAGAAATTTAATTTCTCACAATTCAAAGAAGAACCAGTAAGTGTTCAGCTGCTACTGGTAACCTGTGTCCTCTGCCTTTGAAGGTTTTACCTCACATCTCTGGCAACTTGCTGTATCATGCATCATTAAGAGCCTGACCAAGGGGGAACAGCAGTTAGCGTAATGGCTATGTCGCTGGACTCCCACGTAGTCGACCGCGGTTCACATCCCGGACCCAGTGGCTTAAAACTCACGCTGGGCGCGTGTGCGTGCGTGCATTCCCAAGATTCCGAGGGGAGAACGGAGGAGAAGGGATTGCGGCGTGGCCATCCCCCCTGGGGGGTGATTTCTCGCTTTCTGTCTCTCTGTCTATCTCTCTGTCTGGTGAGCACAGGCGCCCTATAGCAAAAACCTCTTAAAAAAAAAAAAAAAAAGAGCCTGACCAAGGGACTTCTCATGACAAATTATACAGTGTAACAGAACTGCAAGATTACGAAGTCCCACTATCATCTGGACCACTCCCCACATCATTTTACCTGTCATCCAGATCTCTTGCCTATGCTAGAATAACTAGATATCTTTTTTTGTTTTTTTGAGAGGTTTTTGCTATAGGGCACATGCACTCGCCAGACAGACAGAGACAGAGAGACAGAAAGCAAGAAATCACCCCCAAGCGGGGATGGCCATGCCGCAATCCCTTCTCCTCCCTTCTCCTCTTGGGGTCTTGGGCATGTGTGCACATGCGCCTGGCATGAGTTTAAGCCACCGGATCTGGGACTCGAACTGCGGTGGACTACATGGGAGTCCAGTGACATAGCCATTACGCTAACTGCTGGTCCCAATATCTTTTTACTATCTCCACTAGGATATCCTACAAATACCTCCAATGCAACCTGTCTCCAAATAAAATTGCCATATTCTAGTACCATCCCTCTAAGTGCTCGTTTCTTGTTCTCTTTGAACGCTGATACTATCCCTCTAGTTGCTGAAGACAGAAATTTGGGTGTCATCCTTAAATCCTCCACCCTTCTTCACAAACCCTACTTGTTTTGCCTGAATCTTGCTAATTCTGCCACTATGAGTGTGAAACCTATAAGACAATGTCTTTTCTAGAAAAGATTCTTACACCGTTTTCATTGTGAAAATAACATTGCAACTGTCTCATGACCGGCCAAACTTGATTCTACAAGAAAATCCTCCTCTTTCTATAGACTGAGACCCAACTAAACTTTCCTCAGCTGAAAGTTGGGCTTACTTAGAAGAACACAATTTATTGTCTTAAACTCTGTCTTAGAAACAAATTTAGGCATAAGCATGAAGTTAGTATCATCAGAACTAACCTTGAAAATAGAGTCTAGCTATGATAGTACACACCACTAAAATTCTATGCTGTGTAGACTGAGACCATATGGGAAGCTAAGGTTCAACTCCTGGTCTATGCTAAAGGTGAGGCACACTCTCAGAGGCTGAGGAAGGAGGACTGTGACCTTGAGGCCAGACTGGGCAGTATGATGAGATTCTAAAAGAGAGACAGGCATGGCAGTGCACACCAGTAGTCCCAGCTGAGAGGCTGAGGCAGAAGGATCAGGACTGTGGGACTGTCCCCCCACTAAAATAAAAGGAAAAAAAAATAGGTTTTTAACAATGAATATGGCTGCCTCCTCTTCATGTTGACAGGAAAAAGAGGACTCTAGGTCCACACTCTCCTGGGTCACGAATACATCTGAGGAAGCCCTGATGCAAAGCAAAAGCCTCAACAGCAACTAAGATGATCTGGGATGGTCAGTAGTCCCAGTGCCTAAAATTCTGACAGATTCTCTTCCAATGTCAAAGAAATTGCTCCTTAAGGCAAGAGTATGAAGAATCAAGCACCTGTTTATCGTAATAAGCATAAGACTGTCACTGGAAACTTCTGGCTCTTTTATGAGGTAAAACATCTGTAGAGTCTACTGTCTTGGCATCCGCAAAGAACAGTTATACAATTTAACATGAAAATTAGTCTATGCCTAAAGTATTATTAACCTTCTCAAGTAAAAATCTAGCAATTAAATTCCCTATGTAGTACCATTAAAAAAAGGGAACACATTGCTTAAACAAAACAAAAATGGGTTACCATGTTCAGGGTCAAACTGAATGATTTCTTTAATAGTTAAACTTATGCATAAAAACAATTCAGTGAAATATAAAATGAACATTTTTCTCCCTTTATTTTTAACAGTCTTCTCTAACCACAGGGTAGATGAGATGAAAAACAAAGAAAGCAAAGAACTGCTAGTCTGTAACTAAAGATCCAGAAAGAAAAATGTACCTACTAGCTATCATTTCTTTCAAGGGATTGTGAAATGCAAATGTAAACACATCAATGTATTCATTAGTAGTCACACGAGGTGGTAAACTCCTCCCTCGGTATCTCTCTAGATATCTCATTTGGATGGTGAATAAAAAAAGGAGTTCTCTAAAATGTCAACTCCGGAACAATACCCCCTAGAAATAAGTGACAGTAATTCACGGGAATACTAAAAATAAGAATCAAGTTACACTACTTGTACTTAGTGACATGACGGTAGCACTGTACCTTCCCTATTTTAACACTTCATAAAGTCCATACGGATCTTCTTGAGGGTGCACTTTTTTCATACATTGTGAAATATTTTTTGAAGAAAAAAAAAAGGTTAAATCTCCTAGGCCCTTGCTTCTTCTAGCACTCGGGTTATAGAGATCCAAGGACATATATGGGTAAGTGAAAGGGTGAAGCTAGCACTTTTGCTATTGGTCTTCATTTTATCAGAGCCAGATAATACCAACTCTTTTGATATTAGGTTTTCAGGTGCAGCTTTCAAAATCATTCTTTGTTCCATTCGTTCCATACTGTGCCCAGTAGGTGGTCTAGAGTATGAATTTCAAATATGTGTTATTAATATGCCCAAAACTGTCACTGCAAAGGAGGGGGGAAAGAAAACACAGTAATTGAATCTTGATCCATTTTTACTCAAAATGTTGCAAATGTATTTTCTATTTCCAAAAGTGGTATGAAACAATGTGTAAAACCATGTGGAATCTGAAAGTGGATGAACCTACAGGATTTAGGATATTATTTATTGCTATGAAAAGTAATTATTTTCTTACAACAGTTCTCTGAAAAACAAAAAAAAACAAAGCAAGTATATGACAACAATAAAAAAGAATAATGTTGGAATCTTCTTTCATTTACCTTTATCTTCTTGGAATGCTGATGACCACTAGCAGTAGCTTCACATCTGTAGACACTTCATATTTTAACATTTCTTTGTAACTCTCTTTAAAATATTTTCCTCACGAATATTTTTTGGGAAAGATACAATTGTTCTCATTGTGTAGATGTTACATATATAAAATAACAGTATACCTTCAAAGGACTGTTTCATGGATTCATTTGATCATTCACATTACAGACATAGAGTCTCTGGCATGCTAGTTTACTAATTGACTATTCAAAACATGTTGATATTATTAGTACGCAAAAGTATTAGCAACAATACTAAGGCTATCAGAAGTCCATTTTAATCAGGCCAATCTGATTTGGATCTTCCTCTTGAACTAAAAAGGTCTTGCAAAAAATGAAGATCCCACTGGTCACATAGGCTGGTCCAAAGCCTGGCACACTCTTACCTTCCTCACCCAACTCCTAACTCTCCTACCTGATGAATTTGTAGTCTTTATGTCTTGGTTTAGACAGTACTTCTGCACAAGCAAGCAGTCCCTAACCTCTTTAAGGTTCAGATTATACAAGGAGGGGTCTTCAACAAGTTCACAGAAATGTACATTACAAAAAAGTACAACGCATAGATTTTGAATTATTTTGCACTAAATAAACTCATACTTTTACTTTTCCATGAACTTTTTGAAGTTTCATTTTATATATGGTAAAACACTCTGCCTAGTACTCCAGTCTATGTCCCAGTTGTTTGCTTCTGTGCCTGCATCCCCATGACACTTCATGATGGCATGAATCATATCCATTTTTATACACTATGTTCTTAGCACCATGGTTAAGCACAATGCTGGCATATAACGTTGTGTGAGGACATCTGTATCTGAAATTAGCCTGTCTGGTCACTACAAGAACAAGTTTTGATACAGTGTGAGTGACTAAGGGATAAATAAGCATCCAGTTATGGGCCAGTTGAGGGTGAGGATGGTGAAACGAGATGTGGCATCGTAGAAAGTTGAAGTAGAAGCAGAGAGGCAGAGGAAAGAAACAATCAGCTCCACTGGAAATCAGGTTCCACTGGTCCCCTAAGGTCAAACTAGCAGAGACACATCCAGATTCACTGATTCAGGATACAGACACCAGCCCTGCGGTATGGGGAACAAGAGCCTGGGTTATATGCACCTGGTCTTCATGCATCAGAACATAGTGACTTAGAAATTAGCACGGCTCCAAGGTCCCAGTCTAAATCTTCCTACAAGTTTGAACAACAAAATGGGGGTCGGGGGTCCCTGCACCTCTAGTGGAAGAGTCCAATCTGATCTGTGCATCCCAGAAGACTTACCAAACAGTTGGGGTGTGTTGTACATGTCTGGCCCAACACAGAATTGCAGTGCTGAGGGAGAAACTTTGAGACTGTGGACACAGCTGATGGTAAATGAACTGAAATGTTCTTATTTGTTACGGCAGCTGCATCATAGGAAGGGATGACTTTAGAATAGTAGCTGACAGCATGGAAGGAATTTAGAGACAGGGCAGCACTGGGAATTCGAGTTTTACACAGATCACCAATAGCATTCTCTGAAGTGGAGCTTGACTGACCTTTAATAAGAAGAAAACAAGTGTCTGTCAGTATACATGATTCTATAATTCTGAATTAGTAAATTTGAAATAAATTGTCCTATATCTCATTTCCTCAAGTTACAAACTTGTCCTCCTACTGCACTCAGATGCTAATGGTAAAACAAAGTGAACTTTTTAGTACAATCATACTATAAATCAGTGCTCAAGTGTCATTAAGAGAGATTTGGAAACAGCAGTTGATCTCTGTGCCTTTTGGTGTATGTGTGGATGTGTGTTTGGCTTTCCTCATAATCAAAATTGACCTCCCTATGAAGCAAGGAAGAATGCTGAAAAGAACAACTCCATTTAGCCACAAATAAAGTTTGGTTCATTTTCCGTCACCAAAGTGGCTATATCATTATACATGTACATTATGCATAATAAAAGAAAATAAGATATTTTTAATGTAAAATGTTAACAATGCAATCTCAAGTAACATTGTGAATATCTTTGTTTTTCCTTCTGGACAATAATCATGAAAATAATGTAATTTTATGTCCACTTTAAATACAAATGTTTTCTGGAATATGTGAAAAATAATGTAAGCAAATGTATGTAGAGATTTATGGAAAAGAAAATGAAAAAGGCATACTGAAGTTTAAACACATCTGTGTCAGAGGTCATCTTAACACAGACATTTTGCAACTCCAGGTGGTCATTTAACCTCTCAAGCATTCAACTTCCTGACCTGGGTGGTGAAGGTAAAATCTGGAAGACTCTATTCAGTGCAAGCCTTCCGATTCTCTTTCAAAACAGTCTTGCAACATCATTAAGAGGAGATCATAAGCATATGTATCTCAGTTCTTTAACTCATTCATCACACACTGCTAGGAAAGAAAAGTCCAAATACTGAAACCCTATATATGAGGAAGTATTTCCTATCACACGAATAAAAATCACTCTCCCCGCAAACTGAAAACACTAACATAACAATTAGAAGTTAGGAAAACTGCTCTATAAACTATTTGATAAACTACTTTTTTTCCCCTTTTTTGGAGAGGATTTTGCTATAGGGCGTGTGTTCCCCAGAAAGACAGAGGCAGAGAGACAGAAAGTGATAAATCACCCCCCTAGGGGGGATGGCCATGTTGTAATCTCTTCTCCTCCATTCTACTCTCGGGATCTTGGGGACGCACGCACATTCGCCTGGCGTGAGTTTAAGCCACCGGGTCTGGGACTCGAATGACAGTTAACTACATGGGAGTTCAGCAACATAGCCATTACACCAACTGCTGGCCCCCCAATTTGGTAAATTATTAAAGCCATTAAAGTGGTGATGCACTCTATATCGCAAATTAAGGTATTACCCAAAGTTAAATAAAAAATATCAGGAGATGGGGTTGGCTCCACAGGACAGTGGTTAAGCACTGTGCACAGGGAGCCAGATCCCACATGACTGGCTGCAGTTTGAATCCCTGCACTGAAGACTTGAAAAACATGCTGGGCACATGTGTATGCATACCCCAAATCCTGATGGAATAGGGAAATGGAATAAAAAGGAGGAAAAAGGCATTACTATGCTCAATTGGCAAGTGCCTTCTCTCTTTAGTGAGTTCACACGGCCTCTGGCAATAAGTATATACACACACATACGTATACACACACACACACACACATATTATACACACACACATATATAATGATTAGTGATACAGTTTTTTTTTTTTAAATGTGGTGTGGTATTTAAGGTGCTGGACACTTCCACATGGCTGACCATGGTTCAAGTCCCCGAACTGGTGACTTGCTTTCTCACTTTCTCTTTCTCTCTGTGTGTCTCTCTCTGGTCAAATTTAAATGAGTGAATGAATGAATAAAATTAAATAAATAATTCTTTAAAAATATGAGGAGTCAAAATGAAATGTCCAATATAATTACTACTCTAGAAAAATACACCTGAAAAAGACTTAAAGCAAATACATGAGAAATGAACAAGATACGTTAGCCAGGTTATAAAAAGACCAATATTGCTTTTCAAATGGAAAAATGCATATTAAATAAAATTAAAATGGGAGTTTGGACCCATTAACCTTGAAGGTCTTCTCTGGTTTGAACATGTCACATCTATGGTCCCAGTATATTTGTGCCTTTCTGAGAGTAGCTATACAGAATGTGTGTTTACCAGGGAGACAGAGAGCGATAGAGAGACTGAAAATAAGAAATTACCCCTGGGAGAATGGCCACATTGCAATCCCCTCTCCTCCATTCTCCTCTCAGAATTTCAGGAATGCATGCATATGCACCGGACTTGAGTTTCAAGTCACCAGGTCCAGGACTTGAACCACAGTTGACTATGTGAGAGTCCAGCACCTTAACCACTACGCTTACTAGCTCCCAACAGCAGCTTCTTAAAGTGATATAATGCCATGAGATACTGTGGCACAGAGAGGCCTGAACCCACTGCCATGAAAAGACTGTTTCAGGGTTTCTGCAGAATATAAATAGTACCGTATGTGTAAGAAATAACATTGGCAGGCATACGCCTGTGGCCTGACCTCTATCTGGACTGATTTGATCTGGACTGATTTGATCATTTCATGTCACATTCAGCCACAGCTACTTTAAGTAGATTAACCATGTCTCATGGCACCCTTTTTTTTTTTTTTTCTATTCTCGGTCCCTCTCCCCTAATTTAGGAGAAAAGTCTAAATTGACTAACAAAACACCCTGTGGCTTATTTGGCTATATGGACAAGGCCCATTTCCCTTTTGACTTTAAACAACAACCCAAGTAATCACATTTGTTCCACGGCTTCCACTATCCCCTCCCCCCCCCTATGCACTATACCTCTACCACAGCACTTGAGATACTATGCAAACCATATTTTGCAATTGTGACCCTCTCTGCCAATAATTTGTGAGCTCCATGAGACCAAGAACTGCTTATTGTTTGCCCATGTATCCCCATCTTTGAGGGAGGGACATTCATAACTAAGAACTAGGGGATAGACATGGAGTTAACTGAAGAGTGAGGGATAAAAGCCATGCCAGCTCAGTGGAGGTGCTGAGTGAGAGCAGAAGGCCTCAGAGGAAGTCATCAGAAGGGTTGCCTAGGAACAGGTGCTGAGGAGACAGGCAGTCCTGTCATCCAGCATCTAATACCCAAATTAAGAGGTCCATAGCTTCCTTATCTTTCTAAGGAGAGTAAGCCGCAGGAATACTAAAAATCACAAACTCGTAGTGGTGTTCTTTTCCTCTGGCTCTATTTTTCTCATCCTCTTAATTTTTTTTGAGAGAGAAAGCTACCAGATCCAGGACTCGAACCGTGGTTGCCATGTGGGAATGTCCAGCACCCCAGCCACCACACCACCTGCTAGTCCCCACCATCTTCTCACTTCTACAAGCACATGGGCATGCCCAGGATTATACAACACGTAGCAAAAATGCCTAATGAGTAAACATTTGTTCTACAATGAATGTTTGTATAATGAGTACTTTTTTGAGCACTTCCTATGTGCTCAGTGACCCAGATCTTTGCTCTGGGCCCTATAAATAAGTAACAGAGAAATTAGGCAAACACACACACACACACACACACACACACACTTACTCCCTGCCTTCACAGAGTTGGCACTCTAATGGGAGACAATAATGTCAATGCAATGAGTAAATGAGATTACTAAGGGTTGTGTCTAAAGTCAAAAGAGAAAGGGGCCAAAAATAGAACACAGCTCTCCTTATTCATATAATCAAAATACCTCCAGTTGTTTGATTGGTTTAATTTTACTTTTCTCCTAATTTATGGGAGAGGGGAGGAGAACAGGGGTTAAAAAGAGAGAGAGCAAGAGCTGTGGTGAATCCACTGAAGCAGCTGTGGCTGAATGTGACATGAGATGATTAAATCACCAGGTTCAGAATATTAGGAGATGCCTACACGCTATAAAGATAAATACAGCAGATAAAGTCCATAAAAGGTACCCTGAATTATGTCCATGGTGGGGAGGAATGTGAAGTTGTAGCTGGTTGATTCATAACAGTCAGTACTGAATTAATACAAGTATTTCCTTTTCTCCCTTTGGATTTTATTATATAATAAAGTTATCAGTATACTTATCATCTATCAACAAGATAAGCTTTCTGATAATCATAAGAAAATTTGAGCCCAGTTTCTGGGATAACACTATTTAAATGCCTGTCGCCATGTGTGTAGCTGATGCTGACGACACCAGAACTCTTGGTGTTATCTTCCAGCTAGGCTGGATTGCTGCTTATAGCAACCCAAACATGGGAGCCCAGGGTATGTAGGGTGCCCATGGAGGTCCTCGTACTCTGAGCGGCATGCGTGTTAACTGGAGCTCACCTCTCACAGCTTCATCCAGAGAGCCCACTGTGGCAGGAACAGAATAGACATTCAAGCACTTATTAGCCAGGAATTGAATCCCCCTCAAAGGTGAGTAAGTGCTTGTCAACACACTGTTTTCCCTTGAAAGGACAGAAAAAATACTTTGAATATTTCTCAAGGCAGACCATATGAACAATGCTTAGTTCAATTGCTTTTCTGTCATTCAAGTTCTATAAAAACACTGATGACACCTCAAGTAGAGTTATTTAAATACAACTGAAAAAAAAAGAGTTGAATAGGTCCCACTGATGATTTCTTAGGCATGCAGGACTGATTTTCCTCTATAGTTTCTCATTATTTACATATTCTAATAAACCTAAACAAATAAGCAATCATTTGGGAATGTCACATTTTGTACTCAGGAGCGTCTCTGAAAACCGACACAGGGCTTGGCCTTTCCAGGGCCCATGACCTTGTGAACAAAGTAACTTCTGGATTACCATGGTTATTATAGTCCCAAGTGACAAAGCCCTACTTTAAGGTCCTCAGAAATGATAGAGAAGAGAAGGGTGACTCAATGATGAAAGGACCACAGACTGTGCATACTTGTGTCATCACTGTAATGAAATGGTACACTTTGCAGTGGAGAAACATCCACTGGCTCTTAATAAATACCTGTTTCCATTGGGGAGGGCTTCAGTTCCTATCTACACATCTAGGATTGGCATCAGAGGAAACAGTCAAGATGACTTCAGATTCCTAAGAACCCTCATCATACCTTTGTGCTGTGATTGTGCCTGGGAAGGACAGCTGGATGGGCATTTGCTGTTTCTTACAAAACCTCCTGTTGCTCTGCAGTGCTTCTGCAATCTAAGAAAACAGAAAAGGAGCTATATAGAAATATATTTAGATAGGTATCAATATTTTTACATACATACAAGGACACATTTCCAATTACAAAAAAAAAAAAAAAACAGAAACAAAATTGTAGCAGTAAAGTATTATCTGTAAGAATAAAATTCAAGGATTTGGGAGTTGAATACCTGGCTCAAAACGGCAGGAGGGATTTTCTCCCGGACATACTTCACATAATCAACTGTTGCCTCAAGAACGGAAGCTGCATCATTCTTTCTCCCCTTGACATATGGTAAGAGAGTACGCAGTTGCTCACAGCAATACTTGATTCTTTCTCTGATCAGAGCATTGTAACAGATAAGGAATAATTAGTCTCATTGCTTCCTTGTAAACCAGAGTGAACAATCCTTCTTCCTTGGTTTCCTTATTAAAGGAGCTATTCCCCTCCCCATCCAGTCTCCTTTTCAGGGAATGGCCATAAACCTGGAAGCCAGCAGCCCCCACAGCCCCTGGAATCACAATTTCCCTGGGCACTCACTCACACTGCTGCATGGGGAACTGCTGACAGGGTACAATGTTTGTGCTGAGGACAGCCCCAGCTCCCTCCCCCTGGGTCTGCTGCAGTATGCAGGATGCCCAGATATAGAGAACACCATACCATGCTGCCTAGGGAAACCTATACCCCACTCTGCCCACAAAGACAGAAAGGCACACTTCTGTGATTCACCCTACAAGCCTAGAAAGCAAAGAGCAGGCAGGATCTTCATGTCACTGAGACGTGAACCACATTCCAACAATAGATCAATTAACATTCTGTAACACGTGGGCTTTACTTGTAATCCTGCAGTCTGAGCCAAAGGAAAATCAGAAGGTTGCTTCCTTTATGAGACAGGTATAGACAGAACAAACAAACCAATATGCAAATGAGGACAACATCAAGGCTAGTTTTAGAAAGAAGCTACCCTACATTTTCCACAATTCTGAAAGGAACATTGCTGTCAGAAAAGTCATGACACATTTTTCTGTTTTTTATACAAAAATGTGCCATGACTTTTCTGACAGCCTAATGTGTAGGAAATGTAGATCTAGTTGATTTAAGCTTTGGTACCTTCATTCATCCATACGCTCATTTAGTAAACATCATTAAGCACCTGCTTTGTGCTAGATACTACCTTAACATATACAGGGTTGAACGTATACAGGTTGGCTCTGCTAATGACTGAGACATAAGGCAAGTTACTAAATCTCTCTAAATTTTGGAATGGCAAAGAATTTAAGCTTAAAAAACTAATTAGATACATAGCCAAAAAATAACTTAAACATCCTAGATCAGTGGCATTTTCATTGGGTTTTGAGAAGCTCTAGGGGTTCTACAGAGGTTTCTCAGGAACTATTCTGGAGAGAAGAGAAACAACAATTTGACCATGTGTATAAACGGCTTTGAAATTTTGACATCCACTTACAAAGTTCTATACTAAGGAGGCCATCTAAAACACAAAGCAAACTTTTCATACGAATAAACCGATTCTAGTATTGTATTAATAAAATATAGAAAACAACCTAAACACAAAACATAGGAGGATGTGTCAAGTAAACTATAGTCCATTAGTTCAGTAGAAGATCATATGTCAGTGGAAGTGCTTTTATAAAGCTTATTGGAGAAAAATAAGATGTATATATAATATAATCTGATCCTTGCCATTAAACAAAAGAAAAAATGAAGCATAGAAAAAACTGAAAGCAAAAACAATCAATAGTTATGTCTGGATAACTAAACTATGTATTTTATAAATATTTTGCTAGGTATGTCTCACTTTCATAAAGAAAAATCCTATAGAACATTTTTTTCACATTAGAAAAATGTTCAAACATATATAAAAGTTGAAAGAATTACATTGACCAGCTGGGGTATGGTGGTTAAGGTGGCTAAATTCTGCATGGGTGATTGGTTGATTCAAGTTCCAGAGCCAGAGGTTTGAAAGGCATGGCTGGTACATGTGCATGCATGCCCAAAATCCCAAAAGCAGAAATGGAGAAGGGCCTGTGGTGTTGACTATTCCTATAGGAAATGATTTATCACTCCCTGTGTCCCCTGACAAAACAAATTTTTAAAATAATCTTTAAAAAGGAATTTTGCAGTGAAAATCTATATACTCACACTCAGAGTCTATAATCAATATTTACTGTATTTGCTTTCTCATAGATATATTATCCCATTGTTCATACATCTATCCATTTTATGATATTGAAGCATCTCAGAGTATGGCAAGACTTCAGCATATTAAGTTCTTGAACATACCATCAGCTAGAAGTCAAATTATTTTATTATCAGGTAAAAGTTATATAAACTAAAATGCCCAAATCTTATAAGTCCCAAATACTATTGTATACTACAAACCCTCATCAGCATCATCACAAGGAGTCATCTGTGTTCTTTTTCAGCTAATAATCTCCCACCTCTCATAACATGCAATCACATTGTTCATATTTTCCCATCCCATGTTAGTTTTCCCTGTCCTCAAACAATATAAGTATTATAGCATATGTTTCTTTGTTTGTTTGTTTGTTTTGAGAGGTTTTTGCTATAGGGCGTGTGTGCTCACCAGACAGACAGAGAGACAGAGAGATACAAAGCAAGAAATCACCCTCCAGGGGAGATGGGCATGCCACAACCCCTTTTCCTCCATTCTCCTCTCAGGATCTTGGGCACTCATGCACATGCACCCGGCGTGAGTTTTAAGCCACCAGGTCCGGGACGTGAACCGCAGTCGACTACATGGGAGTCCAGCGATATAGCCATTACACTAACTGCGGGTCCCAGCATATGTTGTCTTAAAAGGCTTCCTCCACTCAGTATAATTTTTTTGAGATGTATCCATGTGGTTGCCTACATCAAGTGTTCCCTTTGAGCAATAGTATTACATTAAAAAAAAAATCTCTTTCCACTTATTTATTCATTCTCTTACTGAGGAATACTTGGGCTCTTTCTAGTTTTTGGTTATTACAAATAAAGTCACTATAATGCAATTCCAATCAAAATACCAGAGGCATTCTTCACAGATCTAGAAAAGGCAATCATAGAATTTGTCTGGAATTATAAAAGACCTTGCATTGCCAAAGCAATCCTGTGCAAGAAGAGTGGAGTCAGTGGCATATCACTCCCTGACCCAAAAATATACTATAAAGCTGTGATAATCAAAATGGCATGATATTGGCACAAAAACAGAAAAGATGAAACTGAATCCCCATCTTTCACCATTAACTCAAAAATGGATCAAATATCTGAACGTAAGACCTCAAACTACAAAACTACTGGTGGAAAACACTGGGGAAACTCCGGGAGACATTGGGGTAGGCAAAGACTTCTTAAGTAAGACTCCCAAAGCACAGGCAATAATCCGTAAAATAGACAAGTGGGATTATATCAGATTAAGAAGTTTCTGCACAGCAAAAGATGCAGTAATGAGTGTGAACTGACAACCTTCAGAATGGGAGAATATTTTTGTAAAGCCTCTAGGTATCTACCCAAAGGACAGTAGGATGCTCAGTTGGAAATTCGTTTGCACATGAAGATTAACTGCAGCATTATTCACAATCACTAAGACATGGAACCAACCCAAATGTCTACAGAGAGATGAGTGGCTTGAAAAAGTCTGGCATATATACTCTATGGAATACTATTCAGCCATGAAAAAATACAAGACCCTGGCATTTGATAGGAAGTGGTCAAATATGGAAGATTTATTGCTGAGTGAAGCAAGCCAGCCTATGAAAAATATTGTATGTATCCACTTAATAAATATCAACTATCTGTACTCTATTATAGAGACTGAAATATTTCATAAAAGCTATGAAAATAGTTATAGGTGCTGAAGACAGTGTGGAACAGGGCAAGAATTTAGAGAACAACAGCACAAGAACAAATAAAGAGGCATGACATTTGTGGGACACAGAAATGGTTTATTCCCTGTTGATAAAATGTATAGTATTCTCAACTTTACTTGTCTGAGAAGTATTTCATGTTAGGTAAATCCTCTTTACAAGCCAAATGATGTATAGTGATTGAATGTTTAAAGAAAAAAATAATAATGATAAAAAAATGAAAAGCTACTTGATGACGATGATGTGGATAATGTCTTTGTCTTGATTGACATACATGGTAATCATGCTGGAAAAAGAAATGTTATACACTGTAAAGACATACGTGATTAAACGTAATATAAAAATATAATAAAAAATATATAAATAAAAGAATGGAAAAAAATAAAGCCACTAGATCATTCTATATATCTATTTGTGAATGCATGTTTTTGTTTCTCTTGAGTATATATCTAGGAGTCGAATTGATGGGTATTTAATAAGTTTATAAAAACTGAAATAATATTTACTAAAGTAGCACCTTTTACACTCTTGCCACCCAATGTGTAAGATTTCTCATTCTTCCAACTCTCTGACAATATTTGTCAGTAATTTTATTACCTTGGCCTTTCTTGGGTATACATGGTAGTATCTCATTATGAAATTTTCATTTCTCTGCTAACTAATGATGTTGAGCTCTATTTTCTGTCCTTAAAGGGCACCTGTAATTCTTTGTGACATGTCTATTCAAATATTTTACCTACATTTTAATATTACAGGTCTTTTGTATTACTGAGCTTTAGAAGTTTTTTTATATATCCTAGATAACAGTATTTGTGAGATATCTACTTTGCAAGAATTTTATCCCAGTTTGTGGTTTGTCTTTTTCTTTTTTTTTTTCTTTATAAGAGAACATGCATGTGTGCATATGCTAGAGGAAGAGTAAATAAGGAAGGAAACAAAAAAGAGAAAAGATTTCTGACAGGGCCTAGTCGTGTTGCCATCTTCCTGTTTCAGCCTCCCAGTTAGCTAGAATTACTGTGCACACCACTAAACCCAGCCTTTTTATGTTGGGACAGGAACCAAATTCAGGCCTCCCATGTGGTTTCAGTCACCAAGTGGCAGCACCGGTTCACTTACTCCACCACAGCTGGGCCTCATTTATTTTCTTACAAACACCTTTTAATGGTCAATGTTTACATTTTGATTAATGCAATTTATGTATTCTTTTGTGATGATTGCATTCTGTGTCTGGTCTGAGAAATACCTGCTTAACTTTAGCTCATGAAGACATGCTCATATTTTCCTGTAAGACTATACTGTTCAACACAGTAGCTATTAGCCACTTGAGTCTATTTAAATATAATTTAGTTAAAATTATATTTAAATTAAATTTAAATTTAAAAATAAGTTTAAATTAAATTTCCTAAGTTGCAATAGAATACACACATTTCAAATACTAACTATACGTTGCAGTG